TCTCTGATCCACTTCACTCAAACTGTTGGTGAGGCATTCTTCTGAGCCTTTTGTTTGATTTCCCTGAGTTTTTCCTTTTTGAGTTTTATTTCAGTTTCTCTTTTCTTCAAAGATTCTACTTCTCTGTTAAATTCTGCTCTCATTGTTTCATTCAACTGTTTGTATTTCCATAGTCTTCATTCAGACATTATTCATAACCTCTTTGAGCTCTTTGAGCATATTTATAATTACTATTTTTAAGTTCTTGTCTTCTGTATCAGCTAAGTTCTTTTTTCAGGGAATGTTATAATGGGTGATGCTGGGTTTTGGAGGGGTGTGTTGCCTCAGCTGTTCTTGTTTGTGTTTTTGTAGCTGTTTTGGTCATGGTATTTTATCACAGCAATAGATACCCTAACTGAGACACATAGCAAGCCCATTCCCTAGTACCAACTTATGTATTAGTTACTTTTCTATAACTATGATAAAACACCATGACCAAGGCAAGTTTTAGAAGGAAGGGCTTATTTGCCCTTACAGCTCCAGAGGGTTAGAGCCCATATAAAGACATTGGGACAGCAGGACAGCAGACAGAGCCCACTCTAGAGACTCACCTCCTCCAGCAAGGCCACCTTTCTTAAGCCTACCCAAGGGACACTACAAACTGTGGTGATATTGTGTTCTCCAAAATATTGTGCACCCTAATAAACTTATCTGGAGTCAGAGAACAGCCACTAGATATAGAGGCCAGAAAATGGTGGCACACACGCCTTTAATCCTAGCATTCCAGAGGCAGAGATCCATATGGATCTCTGTGAATTCAAAGCCACACTGGAAACAGCCAGGTGTGGTAACAAGAGCCTTTAATCCTAGGAAGTGATGACAGAAAGCAGAAAGGTATATAAGGCGTGAAAACCAGAAACTAGAGCTGGTTAAGCTTTTAGGCTTTTGAGCAACAGTTCAGCTGAGATCCATTTGAATGGGGACTCAGAAGCTTCCAGTCTGAGGAAACAGGATGAGCTGAGGAATTGGCAAGGTGAGGTTAGCTGTGGCCTGTTCTGTTTCTCTGATCTTTCAGCCTTCACTCTGATATCTGGCTCCCAGGTTTGTTTTTATTAATAAGACCATTTAAGATTCATGCCCCATAGGTGAATCACAAAAGAGACCTTTAGGATTTTAGAGCAAGTCTCTACCATCATCTGCAGACAACTGTCAAGTATGCACCTATGGCCTCATGGGGTGTACAATATGATCAGTTGACTAAGAAAGAGAAGACTAGGGCCTGGTTTACTAATGGTTCTGTGTGTTTTGCAGACATTACCCAGAAGTGGAAGGAGAAATAGCCAGATTGTGATTGTTCACTGATTCAATGGTTTGGCTGATAGTCATGGACTTGGGAAGAACATGATTGGAAAATGGGTGAGAAAGACATCTGGGGAAGAAGGATGTGAGTAGATCTTTCCAAATAGGTGAAGGATGTGAAGACACTTGTGCAAATGCTCATCGAAAGGTAACGTCAGCAGAGAAGGAGTTCAGTAATCAAGGAGATTGGATGGCGTGTTCTACTGACAGCCTCTCTCTTCAGCCGTTCCTGTCACTGTCCAGTGGATCCACGAGCAAAGAGGCATGGTGGCAGAGATGGGGTTATCCATGGGTTTGACAATATTCTACTTACCGCTTGCTACAGCTGCTGCTGAGTGCCAATGACAGAGACCAACAATAGAGCCCAGATACAGCACTATTCTCCAGGGAGACTAGTCAGCAACCTGGTGACAGGTTGACTACACTAGATCACTTCCTCTGTGGAAACAACATTCCTGGAGCAGATACTTATTCTGGCTATGGATTTGCTTTTCCTGCATGTAATGCTTCTGCCAAAATCATCAAGGACTTACAGAACGCCTATCCACCATTATGGTAATCCACACAGTACTGCTTCTGACACAAGGAACTCACTTCACAGCCAGAGAAGTATGACAGTGGACCCGTGATCACAGAACCTACTGCTCTTAGCATGTTCCTGACCATACTGAAGCAGCTGACCTAACAGAAAGATGGAATGGCCTTTTGAAGACAGTTACAGTGCAAATTAGATGCCAGCAGCCTGGATAACTGGGACAAGGTTGTCCAGAAGGCAGTATATGCTTTTAATAAGTGTCCAATATATGGTACAATTTATCTGATAGCCAGGATCCATGGTCCAGGAATGAAGGAGTAGAAAGGGAATAGCTCCATTCACTATCACCCTGTGATCCACAGGGAACATTTTGCTTCCTATTCCCATGACCTTGAGTTCCGCTGGCCTAGACATTTTTAGTTCCAGAGCAGGGAGTGCTCCTGGCAGGAACCACAATAAACATTCCATTGAACTGAAAGCTCAGACTTGCCCCTGGCAACTTTGGACTTCTAGTGCCTTTAAGCCTATAGGCTAAGAAAGGAATAATAGTGTGTGGGGTGGGGGTGGGAGGTGGGGGTAATTGACCTAGATTACCATGGGGAAATTGGATTGCTTTTCCAGAAAGGAGCTAAGAGAGATTACGTTTGATTTACGTGCAAGAGATCCTTTAGGGCATCTCTTGGTGCTACAATGTTCTGTGATTAAAGTCAATGGGAAGTTACAAGAGCCTAATCCAGGGAGGACACAGACCCATCAAGAATGAAGGGATGGGTCGCTCTTCTGGGAAAAGAACCAAGACCTGCTGAGGTGCTTGCTGAGGGTGGGGGAAAATACAGAATGGGTAGTAGAGGAAGGTAGTTATAAATACCAGCTAAGGCCACTAGAACAATTGCAGAAAGGGGGGTATAATTGGCATGAGTGCTTCTGCTGTATTTTTTTAAGAATGTGTTAGTACAATATTTTTCCCTCAGTTTCTTTATCGTGTGATGTAACATCAATAAAGAGACCATCAATGGTTATCATATTTAAGTTTGAGATACTAAAAGAAGGTCCCTCAAGGGACATTGCCACCTATTCTAAATTTACAATGCATTTGCAGTTGTACGAGGGGTAGTTGTACTATGTTAGGCACAGTAATAACCTGGTTGAATATAAAATGTATTTGTGACTGTACGTGGAGTGGTTATATTGTGTTTAGTCATTATTATGACCTGGTTATTCCCCCCTCCCCATTGTCTTCATTTGGAAATTAGTTGACAAGGGGTGGGTTTGTGATGGCTTCTCTTGGTTGTCAACTTGACTACATCTGGAATAACTAAAACCCAGAAGTGGGGGGCACACCTGTGAGGGATTTCTGCTTAATTTGAAGTGGGAAGATCTACTTCTAATTGGAATCTTTGAAGTAGAAAGACACACCCTTCATCCAGATCTTTAGCCCAGATCTAATCTGGGCCATGTCTTCTGCTGGTGGCCTATGTAAAGACACAGAGAAGGAAACTTCTGCTCCTTTCCTGCTTGCTCTTGCCTCGCTAGCAAGTCCATTCCTTCACTGGCATTACAGCTACTTCTTTGGGATTCCAGCATGTACTGTGGACCAGCTGAGACATCCAGCCTCACAGACTGAGCAATTACTGGATTCTTGGACTTTCTGATCATAGGCTGCAATTGCTGGACCTCAGACTGTAAGTCATTCTAATAAATCCCGTCTATATATAGAGAGAGGTTCATTCCATAAGTTCTGTTAGTCTAGAGAACTCTAGCTAATGCAGGGAGCCAGGGAGAATTTTTTTTCCTTGCTGGTGCCAGAGATTAAGCATTAGACCAACGATCTAGCCCAATGAGAGACTGGGGGTTGGACAGACTCCCTGGCTGGCAGACAGGTAGGAGGTGGTGGGGATGGGGAGGCAAGGAAGGTGGTGAATTTCCAACACAGCGGGCTTCTTCCTCACCCTCCAGACTTGAGACAAAAACCTGTCAGCTCAAAACAAAGGCCTTTGTAGGCTTCTGTCTCCCTCCAGCAGGCCCCCAGTTGTTGGGACTGGCTCAACAAGTCTGAGGCTTGATCACGACGTGTTACCCAACAGCTGGGGGGTGGGGGGGAGACTGATCAACCATCTCATCTTTCTCCAAACTGACCAACTCTACATTAGGTGGAGGAAAACTCTTTTGAGAAACTTTTTTTTAAAAAGCCAGCCCTAGAGAAGAGACGGGATTTTTGGCTTCTGGAGAAGGAGTCTTCCCCCACCCCACACTCCACTTTACAGCGAGCAATTTTCTCGTGTGTCTGCTGCGTGTGTGTGTGTGTGTGTGTGTGTGTGTGTGTGTGTGTGTGTGTGTTTCCTCATCCCTGCCTCTCTTCAATAGCTCGTGCTGTCTGCTGGGGTCTGTGGTGTTTGCTGACTTCTCTGATGCTACCTGTTATGCTGAAGATTTTCCTTGCCTTTTAATTCTAACTAGCAGAGAAAATGAACCTATCAAGACCTCTAGATAGTATCAACTGCCCTACCCAAGAATATTTAACCTTGCTTGAAGGTCAGACTGAGAATTTTAATTCCTGTGAGAGACAAAACTTACTGCAGAGAAGGTGCAAAGAATTGTAAAATATATAGGAAAACATTTAATGTCTACCTTCAAGAACTATAAATTTAATGAGTTCATAATATTAATGTGGAACATTAAATAGTAAGATTATTTCTCCTTTCCCACTGTTAAAAAGCGTTACATCGGTTAACAAATAACTTTCTACCTTTGTGCCAGGTATCTAGAATCTGGGTGTCTGGATTCTAGAAATTCAGTAAATCTCTCAAACTGTGTTTTGAAAGACACTAACGAAACAGTGTTAGGGTAAATCAAGTTTAAATCAGTGCTCTCAGGTATTAGCTGACCCACTATTAAACCCAGCTCTAATGTTTACACAGTTGTGTTCTTTCAGTCATCTGCCTAAATTAGGACCAAAATTCTGTGCAAGTTTCTTAAACTTCTCAGATGTATTCCCTTCAGAAACTCCAGACATTTGGGGATTAAAATTTTCATCCTGGTTCTCGCTAAGGGAAACGGACACCCCAGGGCCAAGAAAGAATCTTCCAGGACAATAGGGAACTGTGATGTAAAAGAACCCCTGACGAAGGCGCCTCCACACCGTTCTCATTAGCATGGGGTAATCCTGGTGGGGGTGGCAGGCGCCTTGGCTGGTTCCCCGGGACGTGCAAGGAAAAGGAGTAGTTTTCCTCGCCGGGTCGGCACAGCCTCCCCAGCGCACACCACGGGTAAGTTCGTCCCAGATGCCAGGGCGCAGAAGCAGCCACACTCCTCCCACTTCCCTGCGGCGGGGCGGGGCGGAGCAGCCGTGCCTTCCGGGTCGCAAGCGGAAGTGGGCGAATTTGAATTCTGCGAGCCGTTGGATGGGGCTGCGCCGGGTGGGCGTACGGCAGCGCAGCGCTAGACGCGGGCGGTCACGCAGCGGCCCTGGGACTCCGGCTCCGCGCCTGGTGAGGACACGGCCGGGAGGGACGGGAGGGTCCCCGGCACGGGTGCGCATGACCGGTGCGAGCTTCTCCCTGCGCTGCACGGTGCACGGTGCGCGCTGCCGCAGCTCCCTGCGGGAGGTGGGAGAGCTGCCCTTTATTAATTAAAGACAGAAGTGGGGGCCCGGGCGGGGCGGGGATGGGGGGAGAGGGTTGCACGCAGGGATGCCCGACGTGGCTCCCAGTTGCTCCTCAGACCGGTCCCCGCACCGCAGAGAAATGACAGCCTTGAAATGCCTCGTGGGGATTTAAGCTGAAATCTGAGTATCCTTTGTGTTTAAAACCGGGGTATTTTTCTTTCACGCTTTGACATTTCTCGTGTACCGCAAAAATCTGAGCCTCTTTGCTCATTTTAACTGGCTACAGTAACAGCGGTGGCTCACAGATGTTAGTTTGCTAACAATGGGCATAGGGGTCTAGTCTGTCCGCCTGCCTTTTCGCCCTCTTCATTCATTGGCCGACTGTGTTATTATCGTTATTTTAAGAGGAACTCAGTGCATCAAGAATGGAGTTTTCTTCGAGCGTTTTTGTTTGGGTTTTCTTTTTGTTCGTCTTTTATGATGAACTGGACTCCCACAAACCCCGACAAAAAGCCATACCTTTTTGAATAGCCTAGTTGTGCACGGTAAATGTAAACTTCAGTATTTCAGATGTTTAGCACTTATTTCGCTTTACTGAAAATTGTCAGGTTGATTTTGTGCTTTGTAGAAAAAAAAAGATAAATAGAGATCCTTTTAAGGTTTTAGCAGCTGGTTAATGTACCATCGAAAAACATAAATACCTTTTTTTAAGTGGTACTAACATCCAAAATAAAATCAATTCTTCATCCTCCATACCTGCTAACCAGTGTTGCTTTCGGGGTACACCAGGAAGAAAAAAAAAAATGAAATAACAGTATCATTGAAATTATTTTTTGTAAGGCTGCCACAAAGGTATTGGCTCTCTTTTCCCAAAGATTGCCGGCAAATCCTCGAGCTTCATACATGCTACCAGCAAGTCACCAGTTTTAGATTTTCTGTATCCTAATGTGCTTTTGTTCCCAGGCTATCTTTGTTTTTCTTTTACCTACATTAAGAAATGTCATACTTTATTGTGTGCTTACTCCTGTAAAGGCTCCGTGAATGCTGATGCCTGTACTCAAACTTCACAGATTCTAACTTGGTAGGTCTGGAAGGTGGACTTTTGAATAATTGCATTTTAACGGAAAAGTTAGAATATTCTGCCAGAGGTTTAAAAACATGGCCTTCCTAGAAAAGCCTGGTAATATATTGCTTAAAGACGTGCAACTGGAACCAGACTTCTTGTTTAGCATCCCCATCACTTCTACCTCGTCACTGGGTGACCTTGACTCGGGAAGTTGTTAAGCCCCTGACTCAGGTCTCTTAAGTGTATAATGGGGATAAAAGCCTTCCTTGTGGGATTATTGTGGGAATTCAGTGGATTAGTACATGTGTAATGCATAGTAAATGAGAACAGATGTCTAAAATACAGCTACTAAACATGGTACAACCGTATTATATGTGTTTTCATTAACCTTTACAATGTATATGAGGTACCTACAGTCTTCAGATAAGTAAACAAAGATCCAGTAATTTGTTCTTATGTAACTAATAAGAGTGAAAATCTGAAACTAGATTTAACTAAAAATTAAATTATTTGGTGTGTGTGTGTGTGTATGCTTTATAAAAGTCAGAGGCATTGTGATCCTATGTGTAAGACCTGTAATCCTGGGGATTATCCATTGTGAGAGTTTTTTTTTTTTTTTCTTCTCTGTCAGTTCCAGGGGTCAAATACAAGTCCTTGGGCTTGATGGCTAGAACCTTTACCAACTGATCTTATTGTCCTAAGATAAATATTTTTGCAAGTAGTTCTTTCTGTCCTTTTCTTGAGTCTCCAACTGCTAATCCATAAATTTTCCAATATATGGATGGTTCAGATCTCAGCTTTCTTAAACATAAAAAGTCCTTTACAGCCTGGCTGTGGACAGTCTGATTCCAAACTCTTGTTTTCAGGTGACACACAGTCTGTACACAGCCATATTTGAGAAAAATTAAAATAACCCCTAGAGAAATTTTAAATAAGAAAAAGACCAATATTTACTCATATTCATGACATTAGCTTTCTATGTCTTTTCTCACTTAAGCCAGATAACATTATCTCTATATTAAGATAAACAGAGTTACCAAAATGTTTAATTTTTAAAATGTATTTTTTATATCTGATGCTGTTTGTGAAAATGAGTGATGTACAATATAATTAAATAATGAGTGAGGGAGAACTAAATAAACAGAAAGCTTGCTGTTCCATTTACTTACAAGCTTAAGACCTAACCATCTTGCCTACATTCTTTTCTGTAAAAACCTGTCCAATAATGTTGGGCCATCCTTCTAAAGACCATTGGGTAGGCATATCTGGAGCAAACAGTATTCTACCATCAGACACTCCTTCTGCAGAGAAGATGGTGTGTGTTTTTAAATCGGAGCGCGTGTCCCTGGCACAGTCTAGATTGATTTCTTCTTGAATTCTAGAGTTGGAATACTACAAGACTTTTGTGTGTCAGAATGACTTAAGAATCCTGAGCAGTGGTCATAGCGATCCAGTATGTAGAGACCAAGAGAAGCTGTTTCCTGAGGGTCATTTGTATATGAAAATCAGTACACGCTGGTAACTTGGTTAGTTTTCCTTTTAATTTAAAGGGCTATCACTAATATAAAAATTCATCTGGTAATTCAGTTTGTAAGTAATAACCTTCATCCATCTTAGGGATTTAGTTAAATGCATCTTAGTGATGATATCCTATCGTACAAATGTGCTACAGTGTTTAAATTTATCCTTCTATTGATGCATATTTAGATCACTTGTTTTTAGCCATTACAGAACAAGCTACTGGGACATTTGTATGCAGTGACTATGTTTTCATCCAATATTTGATAGACATAGTTGTACATTTAACATTTTCTAGATAAAATTAACACGGAATTAACCATTGTTAGTATACAGTTCAGTGACAGTACAATTATAATGTAAAGTCATCGCCTCTGCTTAGTTAAAAAAAACATATCGCAACAGGAAAGGTAGCTAAAGTTTTCAGCATATATGAGCCTCCCATTTCATAGACGTTATTAATTATGGTTTCCTACTTTGTTTACTTTGGCCAAGAGTGTCTCATATCATTTCAAATCAAATCATTTCTTTCCGTCTTTGTGACTCTTGTATTAATTTTGTTCTGTTCCTTCCTTCTGTCTGCTGCTTTGACACTTACTGTTTGTTTTTCTAATTCTTTGAAGTGTGTCATTGAGTTCTCTCTGCTTTTAATAACGTAAGCATGCATAGCCATGAACTTTCCTCTGCTTTTACTGCTTCTTTTTAGAGACTAGAGACTCACAGGCTGTGAGCCACTGAGCTAAAGCCGGTCCTGCTTTTACTGTTCCTTAAAGGTTCCAATAAGTTATATCTTCATTTTTACTTGATTCTAAAAACTTTGTAAATACTTTCTTTGAGTTCATCAATGATCTAGTGATTCAGCTTCAAAATGTATGATTTCTGTAGTTTTTAGCTGTTGATTTTTAGTCTTTCATTATGATCTGATCAAATACAAGAAATTATTTCTATTATTTTTTTTTGTGGGTTTTGGCACTCTTCCAGTCTTAAGAATAGTCTGTTCTTTGTTAGACTGACTCATATACACACAAGCGAACTAAAGACGCTAATTGCTGTTAACCATCTTTCCTTCGAAGCTCTAAAAAATCTTTCTTTTTTCTATGATTTCTTTATGTATATGAATGTGTGTCTGTACACCGCATGCATGCTTGGTGCTTATGGAGGTTCCAGGCTGCGGTGGATCCCTTGGAACTGGAGTTAGAGATGGTTGTGAGCCACTTGGTGGGTGTTAGGAACTGAACTTTGGGTCTTTGGCAAGAGCCGTCCCTGTTCTTGACTGTCAAGCTGCCACTCCAGCCCCCTAACAATCCTACTGTATGTTAGCAAAGACTTACTTGTTTGTTTTTTTCTAGAAATATACTTGAGACAGGCTCTCATTATGCAGACGAGGCTGGCCTGGAGCTCACTGTGTAGACCAGTCTAGTCTTGAACTCACAGAAATACACCTGCCTCTACCTCTTGAGTGCTGTTACAACAGATGTGCACCACCAAGATGGACTTTCAGATTCATCTTTAGATCTGTAATCCAGTTTTTGTCTTTTGGTGAGATGATATTAGCAAGCGCTAATCACACAGTTCAGGGCATCAGGCCTTGCCTCCTGAAACATCCAGGTGAAGTGGGAATAAGCTGGGGGAGAGACTTAGGGAACTCTTCACTGTGGCCCTTTAGAACTTAGATTGTTAGTGATTTCTCAAGGAAGGAAAGAGTTGGACGTTGTTGTTTCTCAGACTGATACTGTGAGTGCTACTGAGATAGATAACTTTAAAAATATGTGGGTAACTTTTTTTTTGTTTTTTTGTTTTTGCTTATGTTTTATTCTGTAAGCTTGTTTGAAATGAAGGGATCACAGCTGGGCATGGTGGTGCGACCTTTGTAATAGGTAGTCTGAGGCAGGCTTGCAAGTTGGCTGTCCCTTTGTCAGGAAAGGTGAAATAAGAGCGTTTGCCTAACATTCAGGGTGCCTGGGCTCAGTCCCTAATGTGAGAGGGAGATCCTACATCTGGACTTTAAAATGAAAAGCTTTTTTCAAAATCAAGGGGCTAAAAAGTCTAATATTAAAAATATGAGCCAGAGCTGTATGTGGTTACCACACCCTTAATCCCAGTACAGATGCAGAGGCAGGTGGATCTCTGGGGTTTCAAGGCCAGCCTGGGCTATTTTATTCTCTAAAATAAGAGTATAAACTATAGAATTGATATAATTTCTTCAAAATGTCAAATATTTGGGTAATTGTTTTTATTTCAATCCTAGAAGAAAGTCACAGCATAAGAAAATAGTATAAGCTACTTGTGTATACCGTGTGTCTTGATTCAGTGCATTTCCTGCCATTTAAATGGACTGGCTTAAAAACACGAGGGGTAAGCCTGCAGTTGGCTAAAGCTGGGAATACTGACTGCAGTGAAATTACAGAGCAGAAGCCAACAAATCAAATCGCATATTCGAGTCATGGCACTGATGTGACTTGAAAAACTGACGTTTGATACTGACGTACACTGGGTAATCTTAGGCTAACCAGCCATGAACAGGAAACCTCAGATAACTTTTTAAAAAAAAAATTTAAGTAACATAGTTGTCTGTATAAAGAATTGGTCAGACCTTTATGACATCATTCACCAAGAGAGATTCTTGAGTCATTGTAGTAGGAAAAGGCCAAGCATATGTAGCCACAGGGATCTCTTTATAAAGAAAATGTATTCTAGAATTACTGTACTCATACTTACCAGTCACCTCCAGCAAATAATGATTTGCAATACACTGAATAATATGGTAGTGTTACTCTCAGAAAACTTGCCAGAGTCGTTTGTGTTGTGAACCTTGGGCATTGTTTTATGTTATAATAAACCCAACAATTAGCAATAGCTAGATATCATTAATCACAGTTGGGACAGATAATGTAAGTATAAGGAGACTTTAAAATTTTATTTTTATTGATTTTACTTTTTAACCAGTACTTTAATATTTATTTAGGAATATGGAAATCCAGGCAGTTCTCTGTTGTGTAGGACTTTTTGGTGCACTGCAGGGCATCCCACAATCTTAGTATTTGTTTTAATAATTAAATATTCTTTCCAGTGTTAAAGAAATCCTCAAATTCTACCACTCTTCTTAAACTGTATTTGTTCAAAAAGTGAGGAAGTTAACTACTGTACTGTATTATGAAATGATTTTTATATGTCTTGATTATAATCATGTACTGACTGAATTTAAGAAAAATGGTCAGAGATTTTTGAAATTAAGATATTAATGTTCTTGTTTTTCCTAGTAAAATGAACAAAAATAAACCTGATAACTCAAAAAGTCTTGGTAAGTAACTGTATTTAAAATATTTTTATTACAGTAGAATCCATTTAGAATGCTACCCAGCCAGTAAGAATGAATGTTCTGATGTGTGCTTGGTTAATATGTTCTGTTATAATGATTGTGTTCATCTCCACAAACTAAATTTGCTGTCAGAAGACATTTTGTCAAATTTATTTTTGTACATTTTATATGATTTATTAGATAGGATTTGAATCTGAGAAAATTATTGTTTAATTTTTCCATGGATTTTCCTGTGACAAATGAAGATAATATAAGCAGTAGACAAAAATCTAACATGAAAAGCAAAGTTTCTAAGTTTAAAACAGTCTCCTCTGTTGATACATAGTTGTTTTCTTTCTTCTAAACAGTAGCTGTTGACTTGCTACTGTGACTGATGAGGAATCTACATCATTACTGTGTATACTGTGTCTCTGTGCTACTCTCTCATTTAGGTTTGTGGACTTTGGGGTATGTGTTTTGTTTTGAGGCAGGGTCTCACTACACTTGTCCCTGACTGGCCTATAGCTCACTGTGCAGACCAGACCAGCCTTGAACTCAAAGAAATCCACCTGCCTCTGCCTCCTTCGTGCTAAGAGCAAAGGTGTGTGCCTTCTTTTTTCTTTTTTTTCTTGAGATAGGTTATTTCACTAAATCTTGAGCTCATCCATTTGGCTCAGCTGGCTGGCAAGGGCTCCACCAGTTTCTGCCTCCTGTACAACTGACTGACTCTGGCGCTTTATAAGTGCTAGAGATTCCAACTTAGGTCCTCATACTGTGTGATAAACGTTATTCCAACCAAGCTGTCGCCCAGTTACTCTTAGTATTCTCTCGACAATCACTTTATCTGTTGACTCTACCTTTGAACAAGGAAATTTGCTCCTACCAATCCCTCTGCCCCCACATACCTTTGTCTTTTCTTGTTATGACTCCTGAGTTAAATCAGCAATGCCAGTAGTTTGGAAATTGTAGTGATTTATGTAATACCATTCTACACTTGCTGAATATAACCTTACTCCAACTTACTTAATTTCCCCTCAGATAAATGCCTCTAGTTTTTGTTTGTTTGTTTGTTTGTTTTATTTAAATCAGTGTGCTTAATAGAAACCCGTATTTGTTCTGATAGAAGGTAATTTTAACAGTGAATATAATGAAGTAGAACAATTTTACTGAATCTTAGTCTGCTATAAAAATGAATACTTCAGGGAGTATCTTGTGTCTTCAGGGCCCTTATTGATTCAAGGTCTTTTTAATGTATTGGATGTGAATGCACTTCAAGGCCCTCCAGCAGTCAATTTTTGTTTACTTGGGTCTGTGAGCACGGATATGTCCATGGGTGCACACCTGACCCCTATGTTCTGCAGTACATACGTGAACTTTTAAGACCTTACCCCCCTATATATCCGTTCTTCCCAACTTCTTTCCTAGTTTTTTTGGTCTGACAGCTGCTTGCCCTAGACTTTGCAGCTACTGTTTTTGTTTTAATCTGAAGAGGATTCTGATGCTGGCCAAACAAACAAGTATTCGACCCCATCCCTTAGGGAGCTACTACATAGATCAAAACAATATCACATTTATTTGGGAATGAGGTCTATATGACTTTCTTTTGGACTAGCAGTCTGTAACCATAGACATGAACCACCCAAGGCCCTTGTCCAGCTAGACAGAATCCTGCAGCTAGGGATTTGCAGCCGTGGGTGAAGCACTTGCTACGGTAGTCTGCATGTTCAGATCTCCAGAACGCACATGGAGCTGTGCCTGGTGGCACATCGCTGTACTCCGTGAGGCATGGACAGGGCACTCCTGAGTCAGCTTGCTGGTGTCTCAAACAAGCTGGAAAGGGAGTGCTCACACCGAGGTTGCCCTGTGACCGCCATTCACACACACACACACACACACACATACACACACACACACACACACACACACATCAAAGAAGCACGGATTCTATGAGTTGTTTTGTGATTTTAAGAAGTATTTTACATTTATCTGCTTTTTTGCTTTTAGCTTGTGTTTTCTGTCGAAAAAATGATGACTGTCCCAATAAATACGGAGAAAAGAAAACTTATGAGAAATGGAATTTCAGTGTCCATTACTACTGTTTGGTAAGTATACTCTATTCTAGAAGTGTATTCTAAAGAGAAAATGACACTAATTTCTTAGAATTAGATAAATCATTTAACTTCTGAATCTTTTTTCCATCTCTATATATAAAATACGATTTTTTTTTTTACGTCAGATTTTAAGGCCCTGCGATTACTTGGTGCATAGAGAGACTTCTATGTTTTTATCCAGCTATTAAAAAAAGACCTGTTTTTATCCAACGGAGAAAATGGTTAGATCTCTCAGGGGAGTGCCCTTTTTTCCACTTTTTTGTTTCCTTTGTTGCTGCTGATAAGTCACAGAACAGACTTGTCTGATGGTTCAGAGAGTAGAAGAAAAGTATTTTATTTCACAGAGCACCTGGAAGGAAAAGTTCTGGACGAAGGTAATATTAGTAGAAAGGAAGCAGGCGATAGTGTGATTTGCTCAGGGGAAGAGCAAAGAAAGATCTCACTTATAGACTACTTCCCTATATTTCCTCCCTCTGCTGGCTTCCCAGTTCAAAGAATCCGAAATGAGACAAGTCCCTGGCGCATTAGACCGTAGCATGCTAAGGCTGCATTAGTTCCCACTGTGTTTGAAACCAAGTTAGTTTTTTATGGCTGCTATAGAAATTATTCTGAAATTTAACAGAGGAAAGCAACATTTATTCTCCAAATAGTTTTGGCTGAGTTGTTAAGTGACTTCAGTTTAGATGTCACCAAGATACATCTGAAGGCTTTCCTAAAAAGCTGGAGGGCCTCCCTCCAGTGCCTTGCTCACATGCTTTTAGTCACAATTCCTCCTAGGCATTGACAAGAGGCCCAGCTCCTTACTTCCTAGCCTTCTGAGAGGGACTGCTAATAGCATCTGGTGTCCCTCAAAGTAAATTATGACGGGAGTGGGGGACACCCTAGATGAAACCATCATCTACCAGGTTTCACATATCATTATCACTTCTGCTTTATTGTCTATGTTACAGTTGACTTAATTCTTATCCTGTATTAAAGGGGAAGGGAAATTAAGCTCCACTTCTTGAAGGAGAATAAATAAATTCATCAACATTTTTAATCCTGTCATCCATGCTATTGAACTTAGTTCATCACTTTCCTGGGGAATCATCTAAGTTATTCATTGGTAATATCCAAGATAGTGGTTGTTTCAGATCTGAGGCTTTGGTCCTTTTCCTATGCTAAAATGCCCTGGACAGTTTGAAGGAGGCAGGCTTTGTTCTAGCTCCCAGTCCAGCCGGCCACAGTCTGTCATGGTGGGAAAGGCACAGAGGTTGGGCTTGAGCTGATAAGAAGCAGAGAGCAGAGAACACATATACAGTGCTCTGCTCTCTCCAGCCCTAAAGTCCAGGATCCAGCCAGAGAAGGGCACCCACCACTCACAGTGCACAGGTCTTCCCAGCCCAGTTAATCCCCCATTGACACACTCGGGTCCTGTGGCTGACGATTAACAGTATTTAACATTATGTCTACGAGTTCAATATACTTGTAGTCTAAGAATCTCATTATTCAGCCAGGCGGTGGTGGCACACGCCTTTAATCCCAGCACTCGGGAGGCAGAGCCAGGCGGATCTCTGTGAGTTCAAGGCCTGCCTGGGCTACCAAGTGAGTTCCAGGAAAGGCACAAAGCTACATAGAGAAACCCTGTCTCGAAAAACCAAAAAAAAAAAAAGAATCTCATTATTCCCTAATGTGCACACGAAGTTGGCATTGGAGTCTGTTTATTATAAAAAAGAAATTTCCACTTAACCTTTTATTTATTTATTTTTTAATGAAGACTTTTTAGAATTGTTCCTGTTAGTCAATAGATGATTCCTTATACCTGAGTCTTAGACAAATATGTACTAGTTGTATTTCAGGATATTATTGAGACTGAAACAAACTTTATTAATTGCAAACTCGGCTTTTATTGATGTGTTGTAGTTATTTAGCATATTTAGTAATATTAAAGTTTTATTTATAGTCCGTCTTTTGATATACTACTTCAGAAGAGTATTGTTTTAGTCACTTTTGTATTGCTGTGAAGAAATGCCATGACAAAGGCAACTCTTACAAGCGAAAGCATTTGTTTGGAGGCCTGGTTACAGTTTCTAGGTTCAGTCCATAATCATCATGGCGGTGTGTGTGGTGACAGGAAGTGTGCGTGGTGACAGGCAGATAGGCTTGTGCAGGAGAAGTAGCTGAGAGCTACATCCTGATCCGAAAGAGAAAGCAGAGACGCGGCACTGGGCATGGGCTTTTGAAAGCTCAAAGCCCACCCCCAGTGACACACTTCCTCCAGTGAGGCCTCACCTCCTAGTCCTTGTAATCCTTTCAAATGGTTCCACTCCCTGGTGACTAAGCACTCAAATACATGAGCCTGTGAGGGCCATTCTTACTCACACCAACATAAACACTGACCCCAGACTTAGCATTATGAAAATTCTATTTTGTTATAAACAGTGTGAAAATCCTGCAATACTACCAGTGGAATAAGAATGCTGGAGTGTGACTGATAAGGTTCTGTTTTCCCCACTGCTCACTGACTGTTCCTTCCTCCACACCCCACCTCCCCCTCTCTCTGTTACTGAAATGTTCCTTGAATCAGTTTATGTGTATACACTGTTAATGTCTTCAAAGTCAAGAGGTCTCAGTTGCCTCTTATTTGGCCATGAATAATAGTAATGCATATATTTGTTAATTCCAACCTGGTTTCTTGGAGCATATTTCCTAATTGAGAATTATGTTCATAGTTAATGTCAAGTGGAATTTGGCAGAGAGGTAAAGAAGAGGAAGGAGTTTATGGCTTTCTAGTAGAAGACATCAAGAAGGAGGTCAACAGAGCTTCTAAACTGGTAAGTATTGTTTTATTCATTACACGAAGTACCACAGACACTGCTAGTGTTGCCTTAGAACGTTGCTTCTGTCAATTCCTGTACTAGAAACTTATGACTGTATTGTTCTGTTCTAAAGGATATTTTTATCAAATGTAAGTTTTAATAAACATTTTTATATTTTTGCAGAAGAGAGTTTAACCTATACTGAATGAAACTTTTAACAATAAAAAACTCATCCTTTTCGTCATTTTATTCACTTTTGGTTTTATTTCTAGTTTTTGATGTTGGCCCACACACTTTGTTCTTAGTCTCTCTCTCCCTAACCACTTCACTTGTCTGCTTTCATTTATTCCATTAAAATTATTTGATTGGCACGTGTTCATTATGTGCACTGAGTCACATTATGGAATTTTGGTACATATAGAATGTATTTTATTGTTTGCCTCCATTTCTCTTAATCCTGTGGGTCCCTTTTCACCCAGTCCTCTTTTACTTTCATGCTCGCTCTTAATCACTTTTTGATGACCTACTAAGTTTTATTAATATTACATAAAGCCTCCTGGGTAAAGGTTTATTTACAGGAGTTTCGGCTCTTTACAGTGGTAATACCACGAAAGAAAATGTTCCTTCCTCCTCCAGGAACCATTAACTGCCTGTAGATACTCAGAAACATATGGGGCCTCTTTACCCTAAACCCCCTAGCTGCCATTATCTGCCTAAACAACCTAGGGTCGTTGGAGACCTAGGGTCTTATGGTACTTTTGTGCTGATGGCCACAACTGCTGTGCAAGTGTGCACAAGAGTGCCATGTTCCAAAGGCACCATTCTGCCACTCTCCTCCATCTGGTTCTTCTATCCCCATGTTCTGTGATGTTCCTTGAGCCTTGGAGAGACTAAGACAAATCACATTTACGATTGAACACTTAAGGTCCCTTATTAAGACTCTGCCCCCCAGGAGCTGGAGAGATGGCTCAGAGGTTAAGAGCACCTGCTGCTCTTCCAGAGGTCCTGAGTTCAATTCCCAACAACCACATGGTGGGTCACAACCATCTGTAACGAGATCTGGTGCCCTCTTCTGGTGTGTAGGCATATATGCCAGAACACTGTATACATAATAAATGAATAGAATTTTTTAAAAAAGACTCTTGCCTCCACCCCCTCAATGATCTCTTCTTATAGATCCTGTCTTAGTTAGGGTTACTATTCCTCTGATGAAACATGACCAAAAGCAACTTGGACAGGAAAGGGTTTGTTTGGCTTAGTCTTCCACATTATTGTTAATTAAAAAGTCAGGATAGTAACTCAGAACAGGCGGGAACATGGGGGCAGGAGATAAGAATGCAGGGGCCTTGGAGGGGCACTGCTAACTAGTGTGCTCCTTATGGCTTGCCCCAGCCTGCTATTTTTATAGAACCCAGGACCCCAGCCCAGAGGTGGCCCCGCCCACAGTGGACTGGCACCTCCCACATCAATCACTAAGAAAATGCCCCACAGGTGTCTCTACAGCTTGATTTTTATGGAGGCATTTTCTCAGTTAAGATTCCTTCCTGGGTAACTAGCCCCCAGTTCCTTTTCTTTCTTTCTCTCACACACACTAAAATGAAGGATTTGCAAGTAAGAGAAAGCATGCTAGAGTATCTATTGGAGGTTGGCTTGTTTGTTTAATGTGGTGGTTTCCATGTCAATCCATTTTTGTGCCAATACTATGATTTCACTTTTTTATGGCTGAATAAAATTGCAGTGTGTATATACACCATAATGTCTTTATCTTTTGATGGATATCTTAGCTATTCTGTGTAGTGCAGAAATAAGCATGAATGATATTATTCTCATATCAGAATTATGACTATAGTTGAGTTCTGCTGATGGACAGTCCTTTAATAGTCTACTCGCCCATGTACTTGAGTCATGTACCTCGGTTACTGAGATTGACGTGATGGGTTAAGGTAGAAATTATACAACTGTGTAGACTGATAATTTTTTTGATTCTATAACTCTGATGACCCTTATTTATGTATCCTAAATTTAACTTCTTGCTTATTCAGCTATTTTTGAAGCTTCCATATGATAACTTCTATGGTATCTGCAAGGAAAAAAACTCTGGTCTGTATTTGGTTTGAGTAGAAGAAATAGTGGGAATTGAAGATGGAAAAAGCTGAAAATATGAGAAGTTCTGAATGTGACACCTGAAATAATGATTTCCATAGTGAACAGCTTAGGCGATGTGATAATTTATCATTTTGTTCAAGTGGGGGCAAAGAGCATTAAAATATTCAGAAACTCAGAGGTTGTCACAGAAATGCTGAAGCCACTTAGATTACTGACAAGAGTTAAAGTACAGAGAAAGCCTTTGACTCGGGTCCAGCCTTTGACTCGGGTCCCAAAGTCTCGAGATGGGGGGAAGAGTGGGTAAAGAAGAGGTGGAGGTGAGGAGGGCTAGATGTTGTTCGTCACAAACAACGGAGCTGTTTTTCTTTAACTGAGAAGATAAAAAGACTTAGCTGTGCAGTCTCTAGCAGAGCTAAGCAGTATGTCTCTCCTGCCACTGTCGTCCTGTTCTCGGTGTGTGCAGGTGGGAAGATAAAGCAGCAGCATTCAAGCATCTATTTTAGTGGAGCATGTCACTTTTTTGGGTGAGTTTAGCATAAGGAGAGTTCATGGTGAAATAGAGCACCTAAGGCTCTAGAGAAACATTGTCTGAATGGTTAGCATAAGCCAAAGGACCAAGGGGGATACTAATATCAAAATTCCTTAACCTCTTAAGAGCAAACTTGGAATTAAGGGTAGTCTCCCTTACAAGTTTCTGTAGCTACCTGTTCAAACATCCAAATCCTCTGAGTACACTGGGCCTTTGAGAGCATCTTGACCTGAAGAGAGTGCTCTCACCCTCATGTACCTCAGAGACCCTTGTCAGCTCACTGTCAGAGCCTTGAGGTTCTCCAGGATTCCTCCTGTGGCCTGGATGACCCGCGAGTTAGCAGTGAGACTGTAATCCCTGAATCAGTGACAGTTACAAGGGTTCCGAGGTTTGTTTAGGTCCAGGTGTATATTCTAACTACTTTTCCTGCGTGTGCCATGGTTATGGTTAGTGACATTGGTCTCATTTCCCGGGGGCTGCCATGACAAATTACAGAAATGTAATCCCTCAGGGGATTAGAGTTGAGTGTTACAAAGCATAGTGTTGAGAGTTGGAGCCTGCTAAAGATCATAAAGTGAATTCCTCCTGTACCCCTCCCTCCTGATGGCTGCTGGTAACTTTTGATGTCCCTTGTTTATACTAAAGGGTCTTTTGTCTTCACATGGCCTGTTTTCAGAGTGTCTTATGTTTTAAATCTGCCTTATCTTTTATAAAGACACTAATCGACAGAAACCTTGAGACCCTGAATAATTACATCTACAAAAACAAAACTGTCTGCACCACAGTGCACAGACACTGGCTTTTTCTGAACTTTAGCACCCTTAGGTGACCACACCAGTCTGCTTTCTAGTGCCGTAAGAAACACCATGACCAAAAGGAACTTGGTGAAGAATGGTATAGTTTATCTTTCGGTTTTTCAAGACAAGGTTTCTCTGTGTAGCCATGGCTGCCCTAGAACTTGCTCTGTAGATCAGGCTGGCCTCAAACTCAGAGATCCACCTGCCTCTGCCTCCCAAGTGCTGAGATTAAAGGTGTGCACCACTGTGCCCAGCTAGTGTTTTTTATCTTAGATTTCCATGTCACAGTCCGTCATTGAGGGAGGAACTCAGACAGAAACCTAGAGATAGGAACTGAAGCAGACACCATGGAGGAACGCTGCTTCCTGGCTTGCTTCCCATGGCTTGCTCAGCCTGCTTTCCTACCCAACCCAGGATTACCTGCCCAGCCAAGTAGGCTGAGCCCCCCCACCAATCTCTGATCATGAAAATACACCCACCCCCCCAGACTTGGCCTACAGGCCTATCTGATAGAGGCGGTTTCTCAACTGAGGTTCCTTTTTTCTCCAAGGACTCTCTGCTGTGTCAAGTTGACACACCCCAAAAAACCTACCCAGCACATATCTTAAAACTTTCTCGTTTGGGTGAGGATAGCATATAATATCACTATAGCAATAATTTTCAGTCTCTCCAAAAGGAATACTCATTAATTACTTGATCATACTATAGTACTTAAATTTTTTATATTATGCTCCTGTTTTCATATTTCTTTTAGAAGTGTACAGTTTGCAAGAAAAATGGTGCTTCAATTGGATGTGTTGTACCCCAATGTAAACGAAGTTATCACTTCCCCTGTGGACTTCAGAAAGAATGTATTTTCCAGTTTACTGACAATTTTGCGTGAGTTTTTTAACTGTTAATTAACTAATAAATATGAGGGGCTGGAATGATGACCCAGAAGTTAAGAGCACTGGTTGCTCTTCCAGAGGACCCAGGCTTGGTTCCCGGCACCAATGTGACAGCTCACATCTGTCTGAAACTTCTTAGGCCTCGGGGGCAACTGGCATACAATTGGTGCACAGATGTATATGCTGGCAAAACACCTTGTATACATTTAAATATTTTTTAACTAAAAAATTTAAATATAAATGTTAAAGAACAATGCTAAATAGCCCAAAGATATAATTTCCATGTAAAATTACTTTTTAAAGCTGTACTGAATTTATGCATACATATATCTTACATATGTAAAATAAACAAAATGTGTGTGTATGTGTATTTGTATATAATATTGTATTATATGATTTCTCCTAGAGTTACTTCTGATAAAACTTGATTTGCCATGTCTAAAATGGACCTATGATTATTATTTACATTTAACTTTTAGTTCTGAATATAGTATTGAACTTTTGGTTCATACTTCTGTGAAATATCTTATATTACGTGGTTCACAAATTAAATTGCCCTATAAACTTGGTTAAGTTAAAAAAAAAAAAATAAGCAAATTTTGCCCTGGGATACACCTGAGTACAACTTCAAACGTGAAGATTTTGTAACTTTTGGCATTTGGTACCATGAGTGTTACTTTGAGTCTTCATGTTTTCACTTATATAATGTGTAGGCACCGTGGAAAACATTAGAAAATACAAAGGACATAAAGTCTGTCAGGAATAGATTGTTGTTTGCTTTTGACTCCTTACATGATGGGGATGTTAAGTTCCCTCTCACGTTATATGCTGTTAAGGACAGGAATGGGTGCTCACTTAGTGAGTACAGGAGTGAATATGATCTTTCATACAGAAATAGTGATACTAGTTATTGAAAGTCTATGTGAGTAAGTTTATATCTCGAAGTGCTCACTTTTCCTTGATTACAGTTTGTTAGACTATAGGGCCCACGCTTCTTTTAGATACATTTGTGAAACAGAAGGGAATTTTCTTTTAAGTCTGTAATTACAATGTTAACTGAATTGTATTTTTCCTTTCCTTATATATTCTTAAATAATTTCCATTTTCAGGTCATTTTGCTGGAAACATCGTCCGGTTCAAGCGATTACATCTAAGTATAGAGACTCTTTACCATGTACCATCTGTTTAGAATTTATTGAGCCCATTCCTTCTTATAACATACTGCAAAGCCCCTGCTGTAAGAATGCTTGGTTTCACAGAGACTGTTTACAGGTAATGTAGCTTTGTAATTTTTGTCTCCATAATATAAAATCTGTTGCTTGCTAACTTGAATTTTAACCCGGTATCAGTGCAGTATAGATTATCATAAAATACTAGTGATCCTCTCTAAGAGCCTAGTTTACTCTCGGAACTTCTTTCCTCACTTTCCCTGAATAAATCTGTGTTTACTCCGCTCAAACCAAAAGTATCATAAAAACCAGAAACGAGGCCAGGGATGTAGTTCAGTGATAGATGGCTTGTCTAGAGTGACACGAGGCCCTGGGTTTAATGCCCACTACAGTCAAGCCGAAGACTAAACACTCAACATAGTTGTAATGTCTTTATCTGGAAAATGTTTAGATCATTTGAAAGAGATCCCAGTTATTAGTATTGGACATGTAATATAAAAGTTGGGAGTGCTCTTAGACAAAACAGACAAACCATGCCAAATAACAGAAATTTACTTTTTAAAAATTGATTTATAAAGCTTAGATTTTGTTTAATAAAGTGAAATGTTTCTGATTATTAATTGTTCACAAACTTTTTGAAAGTTATTAGGTGTTAAATTACCTCATATTTCAAAAAAGACATAAAAGTACTAGCAGTGATGAGGTGCTGAAGCCTGGCTGATTTCTGCTTTGTTGTTATTGTTTTTTGTTTTTTGAGACAGGGTTTCTTCGTGTAGCTTTTTTTGGAGTCTGTCCTGGAACTCACTCTGTAGACCAGGCTGGCCTCAAACTCAGAGATCCGCCTGCCTCTGCCTCCCGAGTGCTGGGATTAAAGGCGTGTGCCATCACTGCACGGAGGCTTTTTTTTTTTAATATAGTCTTTTGAACTTATATACTTAGGTTATTTAGTTAAAAGTAGTAAATTGGAGCCTATTTTGTTGGAAATGTTTGTAATTTTGTTAATTCTCAAATACAAATGTGTTAGTGCCAGAAAGTATAGTTAATAAACATTATCATGAAGTGCAATTCTTACTATTGAAGAAATTCATTTTATGTGAGAGACTTACCCCCCCTCCCCGAGACAGGGTTTTTCTGTGTAGTTTTGGTGTCCTGTCCTGGATCTTGCTCTGTAGACCAGGCTGGCCTCCAACTCTTAAGTATTTTTTCTTAAAGATTTGTATTTAGGTGACATTAATTATTGACAAGTGTGTTTTAATTTTGTAAAGATTTGATTTGTGTCTGTTAGTAATAAAGCAAAAAGAGTTCCTCGATTTGAGCTAATGTTTACATGAGTTTTAATAAGCACTTTGAAAACTAGAAGCACCGGGCTGGGATCTAGCTTGCTGTAGAGTGCCCCCCACACACACACATACACACACACACACACACACACACACACACACACACACACACACACTACTCTGTGGAGTGAGCTGAGACAGACCCTAGAGATAATGCTGCTAACAAAAAACTTAGCGCTGTTTTTAAAACCATTTAATTTAGACTTCTCTCCACAGAGAAACTTGACTGTTATGTGCCAATAAATGGTTGCTGTAATTAATTAGAGCACACTGACTCCTGTCACTTTCTCTAACAGGGTCTATGGAGACTTCCACTCTTGAGTCCAGAATCTAAAATCAGAAATATACCCTCTAGCTCACAGTGTGTGGTTAAGCAGTATTCTTTCGAACTACTTGGATTACTACGTACAGAAACTCTGTGAGGAGAGACTAGACATTGAAATGAAAAGAATAGTGTTTACACAGTTTGGATTTCTCCATCGGTCTCGGTGTCCGTGACATGTTCTGTTCTAGGCGGTCGGGTTGTCTCCAGGTTTCTGTGCTTCCCTTTGCTACCAGATACTTCTTTGTATCTCAGATGCCATGACTGGTGAGATAGCCTCTCTCGGGCGTTTCCTGTGTGTGTACCGCGTGCCAGGAGTCCCAGCCTGGGTGTGCCGGGAGTCCCAGCCTGTAGTCCTCTCCTTCACCATCCGCCCACTGTCCCTCAGCCCTGTGTCGCCACTGTCTCGCTCTAAACTGTTAGAGACACTTTATTTCTGTCAGTTATGCTCCCCTTGAAGCTTCTCCTTTTCTGGATTTAATTCACCGCTGTAGTCTTATTATTTAGTTCAGTTTGGTCAGAATGTCCTATCAAGATATATTATTAGAGTTTTCCCAATTATGTGTTCTCTGACTTGCCATGGACACTTCCCTTGAAATGTCTCTCATCCTTTTTCTTGGCACACCTCTACTTCTAAAACTTAGCTTTTTTCTCACTATCTCTGACAATATTCTATTATAATCAGTGGGTTTTTCTCTTTATTCCATGTATGTTCTTTTAAAAAAAAAAAAAAAAAAAAAAACAGGACTTACAAAGCCAGGCATGGCAGCCCTGGTCTGTAAGCTCAGCCTGGACCATTGTGGAACATTAGCGAAAGGCGTCAGAGGTGGACGGGTTCTTGGAACTCACTGGAAAGTCAGTCTAGCTGAATAGGTGGATCCTGGCTTCAATGACTGACCCTATCTCAAAAAAATTAGGTGAAAAGACTGGCATCAGCCTCTGGCCTCCACATGTACACCCATGCACACCCATGCACACCCATGCACACACAGGTACACATATACACAGATAACACTTTTACATGATACTGCAGTTGTGCGCTTACTGGAATTCAGAGTTTACTAGTTTTGTTACACAGCATTATTTGTCATCTAGAAAGTAGAACTTAAATGAAGGGAGGACTCTAGACTGTAGTTTTGTTTTGTTTTCTTTGAAGATTTATTTACTATGTATACAGTGTTCTGACTGTAGGGTTTCCTGCAGGCCAGAAGAGGGCACCAGATAGTTGTGAGCCACCATGTGGTTGCTGGGAATTGAACTCAGGTCCTCTGGAAGAGCAGCCAGTGCTCTTAATCACTGAGCCAGCTCTCCAGCCCAACTATATAGTTTCTTATATCCCACTGAATGTCCTCTGTGGCTTCTGGTTGTGTATTTGCTGTATAGCCCTGATAAAACATTCACTATTTTTCTTTTGGGGGTAAAATCAAAATTGTGTTAAAAACAGAAATAATAATATTTATATAACAATAAACATCTATTCAAATACTGAAGATTTTCATTGTTTCTCCTTATTCTGTGGAGGACAAAGCAATATTTAGGAAATGGAATTGTATTAAGTGTCTGTGCTGGTTAGTTTTTGACAACTTAACAGAAACTAGGTACACCTGGGAAGAGAGAACCTCAGTTGTGGCTTGGCCTAGGAGCATGTCTGTGGGGTGTGGACTACACAGATGGAGGAGGGTCTAGCCTACTGTTGACAGGAGCTACCCCATGAAGGTTTGTCCGGGGTAGTACAAGAATAGAATCAGACCCTGAGCTGGAAGCTGCTACTCTGTGCTCCCGGCTCCTGCCCTGAGTTTCTTCCCTCCGTGATGGCCTGTGTCCTAGGAGTTGTAAGACAAAATCAACTCCTTTCTCCCGAAGTTGTTTTCACCCGTGTTTTCTCATAGCAGCAGAAAGCCGACTAGGGCAGTGTTCAGTTTGAGACAGTAAATCAGGGACTGCTGCACGGTCCAGAATTCTGTGCTCGTGAGATGTTTTCAGACAGAAGGAAGGCTGTCCGTGTTTCAGGACTGCTTATAGTTCTAGGAGCCGTTGGCACAGAAAGGGAAAGACAGCGTATGTTCTGTTATATAATTCACGACCTGATGAAAGATGCATTGCTAACAATAGATTTTCCGTTTTCTGCTGTAGGTGCAAGCAATAAATGCAGGAGTGTATTTCTTTAGGTGTACACTATGCAATAATACCGACATCTTTCAGAAAGAGATGTTGAGAATGGGAATTCATATTCCTGAAAAGTGAGTAACATTTGGCTTTTTGAGCAAAAAGCATTTAACTATAGTATTTAGTAATATTAAACATAACAATTTATGTCTTAATAGTGATGGTGGCTAAGTAGCCATGTCACGTGGTCGAGTGCCTGCTCCCAGATGGCCTGCTCTTGAAGGACAGGCACTGAGACGTTAAGGTCTCATTAGCTGATGTGTCTCTCAGTAACTCAGCTAAGTCTAGTTCTGGTTGATTTCTATAGCATCTTTAAGTTGGTATTCCTGGATGATCTAAGACAGACTAAATAGGTTTAAAATGAAAAAGAAGAATTTTAGTAATGCCATAAGATGAGAAATCCCAAGTAGTGATTCTAAGCTTGAAAGTAAACATTGGGTCCCAGTCCTTGGGAGGCTTAAGGTGTGCAGGACAACATGGGCTGTGAAGTGAGTCTCTGGTTTGCCTGGACTACAGTCTTGGGTCAGGGAGAGAGCAAAAGAAACATTAAGACAAACACACTTAATAATCCCAGCACTTGAGAAACTGGGGAGAGGAACTTGAGCTTGAAGCTAGCCTACGGTACAATAACAAAAATTGGAAATGAAGTACTAGAAAAATAAAGGTTTTAAAAAATTTCTGTTCAACTTTTTACTTAGTGTTTGAACGTTAACTGTGAAACTGACTTTAAGGTAAAGTAACAATGGATTTGTGTGTTGAAAAGAACAGCCTAAAAAGGCTTTGTCCTTGTTTCTAAATTATCTACTCTGTTAGACCAACTCGCTTTTTCTATCTTACCTCATTGTAGAGACGCATCCTGGGAATTAGAAGAAAATGCCTATGAAGAACTGCTGCAGAGCCATGACCGCTGTGACGTTCGAAGATGTCACTGCAAAGAAGGGCGAGACTATAATGAACCGAATAGGTATTTCTGCAAGTTGTGTGGTGTTTAGTTGGTCCTTACTAAGACCGTCGGGTTTCTAGATAATGAAATAGAGTTTTCCTCTTCGGGTGTTTGAAGTTTTAACTTGAGATGAAGTATGTTTATTATTAAGCGTGTATGTTTACAGAGAAATTTCTGTATTCAACATAGTAACCTTTTTGGGGGAAATTTTCATGAGGCTATCCAAGTTGAGGGGTGCTATTAATGTTAATTACACACAGCTCCTATAACAAAGCGCTGGGTGGTACTTGAGGGCTAGAAGTCCAAGACCGAGGGACCTTTTGCTTTCTTCAGAAGCTTTGCGAGGAGGTGATGGCAGGTGTTGCCTCCTCACTGTTTCCTCACGGTTGTTACTGTTACTGTTACTCTTTCTAAAAATATGTTATTGTTCCTGCTGATGTAGTCTCCTTTAGCATAGGAGGCTTCGGGTGCAGGAGACTTGTTTTCCATGAAGTGAGTCTCTTGTATCAGCTCCTGCCTGTGAAGAATCACTGAGCACTGGCCAGCTTTGAAGACTCCTAATTTATCACAAGTCCCCTAAGCTGCATCTACTATTTGAGATTGCTCTCACTTTTACCTTTTCTCTTGGGACACACATAGCTGTTACTTGGATGCTTGCTTTATAATTGTTTGCCTTTCATCCCAAGAAGACAAAGGTAGTGTTGGTAAAAGGCACCTTAGTGTAGTATGTAGCATGGGTCCAAAGCCAAGGGAACCTGGGTTGGAAACTTCCCTCTAAGGCATACAGGCATATAAGCTCAGGGAAATTAGCCCTCTGTGATGAGTTTCCTCTTCTTAAAGACTATGCGTATTAGTGGCTTTTTCCACTTTCAAAATTGTACGTAAAGAATGAGAAGGGGGCCTGGAATGTCACAAACACTTATTTTAGCTGCCATCTTCCTCACTGAGTGAGTAGAACTGGTTTGTGGAGGGGGGCGGGGTCAGGCACCTATGCCCAGATGCCCACACATGCAAGTGTATGCTCCTATGCCCTATCCATTCACACTCTCAGGAGGAAGATGCCCACACAGCCAGCTGTTGGAAAGATAGCTACCCAACTTGCCACCCATGTTTCCACATATTTAGGGAATATATTTGTTTCTGTACAAATGATTGTGTCCTCATCCCCTCACAATGTGGAATAAGCGTCACATCCAACACCATTATGGCATACTGTGTGCTGGCCTGTTTCATGTCAGCCTGACACAAGCTAATCCTCTGAGAAAATGCCTTTGTAAGATCCATCTGTAGGGCATTTTCTTAATTAGTAATTGACAGGGAGGGCCCACCATTGTGGGTAGTACCATCCCTGGCCTGGTGGTCCTGAGTTCTGTAAGAAAGCAGGCTGAACAAGCCAGTAAGCAGCATTCCTCCATGGCCTCTGCATCAGCTCCTGTCTCCAGGTGCCTGCCCTGTGTTCTCTCAGTGATAGAAGTCCTATAAACACTTTCCTCCCCAAGTTACTTTTGGTCTTGGTGTTTTATCACAGCAGTGGAAACCCTAATACATACACCTATATGGAAATGTCTATGGATTGTCATATCACAGGTCACAACGGGAGACAACGAGAGAGAAGTAGAGATAAAAGAAAATATGAATATGAGCAGGAACAAACTCTAGATTTGATTGCATTACACAGCACCTGAAATGTCAGGGCAATGTTTTTTATTGTTTTGGTTTTGGAAATACTGCACACCTTTGTACTGCAAATTGTATATCAGACATAGTGAACGATAGTCTCTCTCTGAATGTAATCTATCTCCAAATGTTAAGGAAAATGTTTTTCTCCTTATGTTTAGAGGAAGAGATTATAAACATTAAACGAAAGAGGGAAAATAAGTCAGATGTGGTATGGCATTCCTAGAATCTCAACACTTGGGAGGATAAGGTAGCAAGATCACTAGCTAATGGCCAGCATGGGCTGCACAGTGACTCCAGGCCAACCTGGAGTGCCTAGCTAGACCCGGCCTAAATCATTCAGTACTTCAGTGGGGGAAATTCGATATTGAAGGTGTAGTCTTTTCCTTCCTTTGGTAGGTTGGTATGGTGTATGACAGGCCTGGACTCTAGGTGGTGATCTGATGCATTGCAGTCACAGAACATGCAGATATACTTTTCTTTATGTCCTCAGCAAATGGGAAGTAAAGCGCTGTCACTGTTGCGGTTCGAGTGGGACCCACTTAGCCTGCTCCTCTCTACAGTCATGTGAACAAAACTGGGAGTGTTTGGACTGTAGAAGAATCAGCTACAATCCAGGTAATAGTTTGTAATTTTGACCAAAGTTGCTATCGTTTAAGTGCATGTTGTTGAAAATGTTTACCTATGTTTCTGTTAAGCTAACCTCGGGATTTAAATATGTAGATTTCCGAAAGGCCTCCAAACACCCATTAGCCAACTCTACTAATGTGACCGTTACTGATTGCCTGTTGGAAGAGTCCTCACCCAAGCTCCCCAGACAGTCACCTGGAGCCCAGCATAAAGAATTACTGAGGTACGTATTTTGGTTTTAGAAAAATAGAAAAAGCACTTTGAAAAAAATTAATGATGTCAAATGCCACACACACTTAGGATATTAGCTGATCATACAGTTGTTGAGAAAGAGTGAGTTTTCAAACTGTAGGACCCAACATGGGATGTATGAAGTCAAGGGAAGGTGGGAGGAAACAGAATAGCTTGGCATGGTCACGTACCAGTAGTCTCAGCTACATAATGAATTTAAGACCAGCCTGGGTTACATGTGAACATGTATGTATCATAAAGAAAAAGAGGAGGGGAGGAGGGAGGAAAGGGGGGGGGAAGAAAGCAAGGTATCAGGCTACATTAATCAATTACAGTATTTTTCTTCTTTTATACTGAGTCATATAAAGTAATTTTAAAGATATAACATCCTGGAAAATATCTTTACAACATTATTCGATTACAGACTAAAGCAAGAGGTTCAATTATCAAGCATACTGTGTCCCTCTATAAAAACGTCCTGTTTAACACAAAGGTTGGTTTCTTGATGTTATAACCATTGTTTACTTTATGTATAGTTAATGTCAGGATCCTTAAGTGAATAATTGCTCCTTACAAATTCAACTAAAAAATTCTTTATAATAATTTGTTACTTTTATATTAGAATTATTCATTGTCTTAAGTTCATATAGTTTGAAAATAATTTTAATATTTAGGTTTCCAAAGATGTTGCATTAGAGAAACTTGGCTGCTTATTTCTGTTTTAGCATCCCGTCATATGCTTGAAGAGCAGCATTGACATTCCCAAGGAGCAAGGAGTCAACTGCTATAATAAAATGTGGCTGCAATGTGTGGGGTAGGACAGTATGGTAAATGATTCATGTACATGAGTACATTAGTTCTACTTACAGATGGAAACCCTGGGGCAGAAAGAAGTTAACTCATGTGCTTCCTGTGGATGCTCATACACAGAGGTTCTGATTGTGCAGATGGGACTCAAGGATTTGCATTTGTAACTAGTTCAGAGATGATGCTGTTAGTCTACACTAAAAGATATTTAAGGGAATGTGAGTTTTGTTGATAATATTAGTTGTATTATCAGTTATAGCTGTGCTGTTGAAAATACATTACTGATACAATTGAGTTGTTTTAGGTATTGGCCGGGAAGTAAGAATTTGAGCTTCATACCCTTGAACTTGAGTCCACTGAATTAGACATTCAAATAATCTTCCGTATTCTTGCAAATGTTTGTAAGTTGGTAGAAGATTAGATTGGGGGAATTTTAAAGTAGATAATCAGGTAAATGTTTTTGATTTTGGTTCCAGTATCATCAAAAGACTATCTTTTTAAGTTAAAAATGGAACATATAAACAAAAAGAACTACTACAGTAATGCTATATAACTATTATTTCACATAAACTACTTTAAAGTAATGTTCTTTATTCAAATTTGTGTTTTCTAGGCAAGGCAACAAATTTAGGAGAGACATTTCAACAATATTGGTAGAGTTAGGAGCCCAAATTAAAAAGAAAGCTAAGAGATTATACATCAACAAAGCCAGTGTGTGGAAGAGTGCCTTAGAGCAGTTCCAAAGCCAGAGGTTTAACCCTTCATGCACCATTGAAGTAGTATATGTTAATGAAAATGAAAAATTTGGAAGAGAGCATCCTGGATCAAAGCAGGAATTTCTGAGTCACTTAATGCAACATCTTGAGACTTCACCTTTGTTTGAAGGGCCCTTGTCAAAGAACTTGACTCTAAATTCTCAAGGTAATTATTATTATACGTACTGAAGATAGCATGTATCACCCAAACTAGATAGTTGGTTCTAATTAAGATCCTTTAGGTATATCTGGAATAAATAATTTGCATTTGTTGATGAATGAGAATTTGATATTTCAAAAAGTTAAGATTTAAGAATATCTGGGGTGGAGAAATGCCTTAGTGGTTAAGAATGCTTCCTGTGCTTACAGAGGACCCAAGTTTGATTCCCAGCACCCACATCAAGCAACTCATAACTACCTGCAACTCCAGCTTCAGGGCATCCAACACCTATTCTCCCCCCCCCCCCCCCCGGCACCTGTGCTCTTTTGCACACACATAGACAACACATAATTATAAAGTAATTCTTAATATCTGTATTACAGCAGTCTGCTTAATGATTTCACAATTAAATATGTTAGTTTTGGACTTGATTCTTTTGAATATTATTTGACTAGCATCACCAAATAATGGATAATTATTTGGGCTCTTCTTGTTCATTCTTTTTGGTTTTTTGAGACAAGGTTTCTCTGTGTAGCTTTGGCTGTCCTGGACTTTCTCTGTAGAGCAGACTGGTCTCAAATTCAAAGATCAGTCTGCCTCTGCCTCCCAAGTGTAGCGATTAAAGGTGAGCACCACCACACCTAGCCTTTGTTCATTCTTATACTTAAGCATTCTGTGTGAGTGTGAGTGTGTGTGTGTGTGTGTGTGTGTGCGCGTGCGCGTGTGTTTACAACATGGAATTTGTGTTTAGTTTGTTTTTATGACTCATGTGTAAAACTCTTTTTTTTTTTTTTTTTTTTTAATGCAGTAAGGCCTAGCCCAGGGTCTTGGAAATGCAATGCAAATGTAGGGCTGCTGCCCTGGAGTCGACTCTTTTATATGTATTTTGTATACAAGGTTTCCCTCTTTTTTTTTTCCCCCCTTCTTTTCGAGACAGGGTTTTTCTGTGTAGCCCTGGCTGTCCTGGAACTCGCTCTGTAGACCAGGCTGACCTCAAACTCAGAGATCTGCCTGCCTCTGCCCCCAAAGTGCTGGGATTAAAGGTTTTCTTTTAAAAATTTCGTATATGCCTTTCTGCCTTTACTGTTGGTACAGATCTATTTTGGTTGAAGTAAACACTTGAAAACAACAGGTAATTCAGTGTTCTTAGGAGTTTTTCCTATAACAAGGAAATTGAAAAGGAGTAAGAAGATGGATTACATTTGAGTTTCTTTCTTTATCATTGCCTGAAGCATGATGTTTTTTCTATTTATAGTATAAACAGTTTAGTTCTCCCCCCCCTCAAACTCTCCCAAATAATTGGTTATGTTAACTCAGGGTAGTGGTGGCACAGTGGAGGGTGCAGATGTAAGCTATGAAATCTGAACTCAAGTCTGCGTATATCTACCTAGTGGCATTTATTTCCATTACCCTCCCTGGACATAGGTCTTTTTTTTTTTTTTTTTTTTTTTTTTCTCCCCAGCTGTAAACTGTAGCTACAAATAGGATTATTGTTGAAGATATAATATTTTAAATGTTACTTGTTAATAAATTATTTTGAAGAGCTAGTATAAGTAGAAACTAACATTTACATATCTTTCTCATCCATCATCGTTGGTAAAATAATGTGAATAAGTTTTTTTTTTTTTAACTTTTTTTTATTTTTTAAGATTTATTTATTATGTATACAGAAGAGGGTGCCAGATCTCAGTATAGATGGTTGTGAGCCACCATGTGGGTGCTGGGAATTGAACTCAGGACCTCTGGAAGAGCAGCAGGTGCTCTTAACCTCTGAGCCATATCTCCAGCCACATGAATAGGTTTTTGAAAAAAGTACTTAAAGCTGTGAGTGTGTGGTATGGTAGTATACAGTGTTGGGAGTAAATCTCCCTTCTTGTTCTTCTTTGATTCACTATGAGCTATCTGTTCATATGTATGAGCTAATCTGATCAGATCATGAATTTGAACATGAATATGTATACAGATAGTGATTACAACATTATGTCTTACAGCTAAAATGTCACATAACCTGGGTAGCCGGGAGTAAGAGATGCATTATACTGCAGTATATTCTGGTCTCATGCATTCATAGTTTTTAACTAATTCAAGTTTAAGATAATTTTACAGTATTGCAGAACCCAACTATGTGTATATTTATTTAATGGCAGACAAAAATAAGCCAGAGGATTATTTATATTTATTGTGATACAATTCATTATAGTCACTACTTTAAAGATTTTATTTTGTTTTCATGTGAATGAGTACTTTGCTTGCATGTATGTCTGTGCACGACTTTTGTGCCTGGTGCCTTCGAAGGTCAGAAAAGGGTGCCAGGTGCTTGGACCTGGAGTTAGAGTTGATTGTGAGCCACCATGGGTGCTGGGGAAGTAAAGTCATCTTCTCTCCAGCCCCTGGTCATCGGGGTTTTATTTTCCCATAGATTCACATTTTGTTCCATAATAGGATATGTAATCCAGGGAGAAGCTTTTCAGTAGATTTCTAGGATGTCCAGGATGGTAGCTTCTTATGGTTATTTTATCAATGTTTAGATTTTTAAATTAATTTTTAACTCTATATGTCTTCATTGTAAATGATGGTTAATTTAGATACTCAGTTTATTTTTATCTGTATTGACAGCTCTCAAAGAGAACCTTTACTATGAAGCTGGCAAAATGCTTGCCATTTCTTTAGTTCATGGTGGCCCTGCACCCGGCTTCTTCTCTGAAACTTTGTTTAACTGTCTTGCTTATGGACCAGAAAATACTCTTCCAATATTGGATGATGTTTCAGACTTTGATGTGGCACAAATTATAATCAAGGTAAGAAAAATAATCTGTTTATTAAAATATGAATTACATTGCAGCTGCATTTTAATATAAGTGATAGCTCTGGTTTACCCAAAGGGTTCAGAACCAAGTCAGAAACCAATCTAGCTGGGCATGGTTGAACATGTTTATACAAACCTCACCATTTAACAGTTCAAGTCCTGCAGCAGCCAGAAGAAGACATCTGATCCCCTGACTCTGCACCACCTGATTTGTTTGCTGGGGACAGATCACCAGTCCTGAAAGAGCAACATGTGCTCTTTTCTCCTGAGCCATCTCTGCACCTACCCTTTGTAAATTTTTATTTTTACTTATTATATGTGTGTGTTGCATGCCTGTCATAGCACACATTTGGAGGTAAGAAGACAGTGCAGCTTTCAGCAATCAGTTCTCTCCCTCTACTCAGGGACCAATTCAGGGAGGAATTCGGGTCTTCATCCTTGTGTGGCCAAGGATTTTACCTGCTGAGTCATCTTGACAGCACACTAATATGTTTTATAAGACAAAAGCTAATTCCTTCTCCCAGTCCAAAGATTTTCTTTGCTTATTCTCAGAGCCATTTTTATTTATAAGAAAAGGGATCTTTTTCATTCTTTCTTACTGTATTTTCCCAAGTATATCCAAAGTTATCATTATATAAAAGTTGCATATCTGACTTTCATTGTTTTTAATGTGACTATTATATCAAACTCAAATTTGTATTCTAATATATCTACCAATTCTTCCAGTTCATGAAATACTATGTGTACTCAACTGTTTTATCATTGAAGACAGGATACAGAATGAATAAATATCTTAACCTCTGAATTTAAAGTTTTAGAAAAAGCACAGAAGATGAATGTTACTATACTATACTGCCATGGAGTAAGACAGTGGTTAGGTTATATATAAGAAAATACAGATGTTTAAAATCTGTTGTCTTGGCTTGTGGAGTAGGAACTAGCAAATTATAGCCTGTAGGATTTGTTGGATGTGGCATGTGTTCATGCCATAGTGCACATGTGGATGTCAGTAGGCAACCTGTGGGTATTGATTTTTCTCTTTCCATCATGTGATTTCCAGGATGGACAAGGACCTCTAATATATTTCTTGGCATAATTTTATTCTACCCTGTTGTACTGAAGAGTTGAATATAGGGCTGGAGAAATGGTCCAGCAGTTAAGAGTGCAGGCTGTGGCTTGGAGCGGTGCTGGACGCCTTCAGTCCCTGCTCTTGGAAGGCAGAGGCAGGCGGATCTATAACTCATGGTCAGCCTCGTCTGCACAGAGAATTCCACACCAGCCAAAGAACTGCAGTTAGACACTGTCTCAAAAGACACATGAAAAGAGATGGTGCTGCTTTTGGCAGTAGACCCAAATTATTCCCAGCACCCATGGCAGGCAGCACACAACCACTTGAAACTCCAGATCCTATAGGCACCAGCACAAACCCACACACATACACACGTTTTCTAAAAATGAAGTACAAAATATGTATCCGTCTAAATTGTAGCTATCACTCACAATAAATGGGTAAACTGAGCCCAACGTGTTTCTTCTCTTGTGTTACAGATAAATACCGCAGCCAATTTGAACAGTTTGAACTCAGTAATAAACGAATGCTATAGCTACCTAGAAGTTATTGGATGTTTAAGACTTATAACAACATTGAGTGATAAATATATGTTGGTAAAAGACATCCTTTTCTACCATGTAATTAAGAGAGTCCAAGCACCCTTTGAGAGGTGAGCCATTTGTTTCTATGTTCAAGAGTATCTCAAATTACATTTAAAGTGGTTATTTGGTAATAAATACAAATGTTTAGTTCTCGAGACTGTTAATGCGATTTAAAATAATACTTTAAAGCTTAACCTCCCACCAGAAGTCCTGTTTTAATTCTGTCTAGAATTACATGAATGTGTTTTTCAAGGAGAAAATAATCAGCACTTCATTTAGTTAGGATATTTCTAATGTGAACTCCCTTAAAAGCTGTAACCACTTGACTGCGATCTCTACTCGTGCATGTAACCACTATTGAGTGAGTGCTGGGAAAGTAGGTGCTGACCACTCTGGTTTAAAATGCTCATCTCATTCTTGCTCTTCCTACCGGGGGATAATTGTGTGTGTGTGTGTGTGTGTGTGTGCGCGCGCGCGTGTGCGCGTGTGCGCGCATATATGGGTGTTTTCCCTGCATGTATGTCAGAAGCCAGAAAAGGGCTTGGAGTTACAGACAGTTGTAGTCTGCTGCCCTGTGTGTGCTGGGAATTAAACCGGGGTCCTCTAGAAGAGCCATCTCTCTAGTCCACTCTTCCAAGCATTATTCTTGAAACCCTTTGTTCCAATAAGACTTTAAAAAGTTGGAGACTTCTCCTCAAGCTCTTCCCCACCTCCTCCTTTTTTCAGACAGGGTCTCGACGCAGTCCTGGATGCTCTGGAATTTACTCTGTAGCCTAGGCTGGCCTCTACCTCAGATCCTCCTGCCTCTGCTGGAATTATTTGTGTGCTTGCACACCTGGCCAAATTTCCTTTTTTTTTTTTTTTCTTTAATTTATTCTTCTCTCAGTAATCCTGACGGCAGTTTCCCGTCCCCTCTGTCTCCTCTCTTCCCTGTCCCTCGCCACCATCTCCCCTCTCCCCCAGATCTACTCCTCCTCTCCCTTCAGTAAAGATCAGGCCTCCCAGAGATCTCACCAAACGTGGTATAACAAGTTACAAAAGACTGAGTATACATCCCCTATCCAGGCTGGACAAGACAACTCAGTCGGAGGAGAAGGGTCCCTAGAGCAGGCAAGAGTCAGAGACAGCCCCTGCCCCCACCGGCACTGTAACATACATGGAGAGGACCTAGCTCGGGCATATTCAGTCTCTGTGAGCCCTCGTTAGTTGATTTTGTGGGTTTTCTAGTGGTGTCCTTGACCCCCTCTGGCTCCTACAATCCTTCCTCTCTCTCACAGGATTCCCTGAGCTCTGCCTAACGTTTGGCTGTGGGTCTCTGCATCCTATAAGTTGCTGGATGAAGCCTCTGATAATTTATGCTAGACTCTGGTCTCTGAGTGTGGTAGAATATCATTAGGAATCATACCACTGTCTTTTCTTCCAGTTGTGTTGGTTCTATCCTAGGTCTCCGGGTTATTTGACCTTTGGTTTCTGGCCCTCTGGGCAGTGTCAGGCATTGGCTCCTAATCCTGGTGTGGGTCTCAGTCTGGACCAGTCATTGGGTGGCCACTCCTACAAGTTCTGCACCACCTTTACCCCTGCACACCTTGCAAGCAGGACATATGGCAGGACAAAGGTTATGTGGCTGCATCGGTGTCCCAATCCCTCCACTGGGAGCTTTGCCCGGTTACGGAAGATGGCCAGTTCAGGCTCTGTGTCCTCCATTGCTAGGAGTCTTCTCTAGAGTCACCCTTGTAAATTCCAGGAAGTTTCCATTGCACTAGGTTTCTACCTCACTTCTAAAACACCTGCCCCCAGTTCCAGGTGTCTCTCACAGTATTCTCACTCTCCAACCACCCCTGCCCCCTTGTCCCCCATCCTGATCCCTCCTGTTTCCATCTCCACCTAACCCTTAAAAAAGTAATTATGTGGATGTTCCTGAGTGTATGTGTGAACACCATTTGTGTACAAGAGCCCACAGAGGTCAGAAGAAGGTGTCAGATCCCCTGGAATGGGAGTTACAAATGATTGTAAGCCACCGTGTGAGTACTGGGAACCAAACTCAGATCTTTTGCAAGAACTGTATATGGGTGTGGCTGTGGTAGGTGGTGTGGTAGTGTGTGTGTGTGTGTGTGTGTGTGTGTGTGTGTGTGTGTGTTTTCTCATGTGTGCTTGTGCGCATGCACATGGTTGTGTGTTTGTTTACCTAGGTGTGTACCTGTATGTAGATGCCAAAGGACAACTTCACCTCTTTTTTTGAGAAAGGGAGTCTCTCAGGCCTGGAACTCCTTCCCAGGGATCCACCTACCTCCATCTTTTTAAGAATGGGCTAACAAGAGTGCACCACAACATCTAGCTTTTTCATTTGGACTCTGGGTTAAGCATGAGGCCTGCTTACAAGGAAACACTTTGCTGACTGAGCTCGCTCCCCAGCCCTTGAATGGCGCAAACCAATAGATAGTTGTCACCATAAATCTTAAGGACAGAAGTCAAAAATTCAAGTATGATAGAGCTTCAGCTTTTCTGAGATGTTGAGGGAAAAATTCTTTCTGAGGCATCAAAGGGTTTATGATTCTGTAACTTTGATCTCTGACTCATTGCCATTGCATATTTAGTGTGTCTTTTCTTAGTGTCATTGGATTAGGGCCAGTAATAACAATCTTAAACTGGATTATCTCATCTCAAAATCCTTACCCTTAATTCTGTCTATGAGGCTGGTTTTGTTTTGTTGTTGTTGTTGTTGTTTGGTTTGTTTTCATTTTCGTTTTTGTTTTTTCAAATAAAAGTACTAGGGAACATAAATAGTATAGGGAGACCAGTATGTAATTTACTTCTGAACCAGTCAGGTTTTACTCTGGCCCGTTGCTATGCCAACAGTAGGTAAAATGAACTGGGAAGGTTTACTCATTTGTCACATAGACCAGTTATAAGTGTTTTATAATAAGGTTGTGGTCATGGTATGCTGAGAAATTTACAAAGGATTTCAGAATAGGAAACATAGGACTTGATAGCTAAGAAGAAAGGAGACTTAAGGTTGATCTCAAAATTTAGCCATGCTGCGTTGAAATAGTGGGACCAGTTATAATTATTTGTGGCTCACTCACATTTTGATATTATTGTCATTTGATTTCTTTGAGGCTTCTCAAAGCCTTTACCTCCCAGTACTGTTAAACTGTCAGTGGCGTTTCAGTGTCAGTGGCTATAAACATAAATTTAGAAGACAGTTTGACAACATGACTGGTTAGCAAAGTAAAAGTAGCTCCTCCTAGGGCTATGGCACGGAGTTTTGATCAGTTTTACAGTAGCAGTCATCCTTTCTGCAGAGCAAGTCTTAAATCCAAACAAAGTGATTGGTTACCCCCAAAATAGCCTTGCCACTATGGTACCAGTGAACACATCCTGCCTGGTAGGTTAATATTGTGGTATGCATGGCCTAATCCTGGCTGAGACCATTGATGGTTTCTCCCTCAGCACCCTGCACAGCACCTTTGGCACTGTGAAAACTAGTCAGTAGGGAGGGGAGCATGTTGCCTGTTGGGCTAGAGATTGTGATTTCCCTGTTTCTAAGAGGCAGTGTTCATGGTGCCTCTGTCAGTAATGTTTTACCATGTAGTTGGGTTGGCAACCAAGAGCAATGGCCAGAGTCACCATTTTGCAGACCTCTAAGTCATTCTACTTCTAGGGAATTATTCCTAGGCTTTCCACTTAACAACTCTATTGTATTGTCAAGCCATGCAAGGTAGTATTTATCACTTTGAATAAAATAGTTTCAAAACTAGTGATGTAAAATAATCATTAATACATTTCTTTTTGTTTTAAAAGTACATCCTAGTATTTTATCTCATATCTAAATGCATGTAATAGTTTTTGTTGGACTATTTTTTCAATCAGCTATTTATAAAATGCCAGATAAATTTCCTATAAAATATACGTCTGTATATTGACTCATTATTTCTCTTCTCAAGTTTTAAGCAGGGTCTGAAAACGCTTGGTGTTTTAGAGAAAATTCAAACTTACCCAGAAGTATTTTATAACATCCTTTGTCATAAACCTGAGAATCTTTCTGCAAAAATCCTTAGTGATCTTTTCACAGTCCAGGGATTACCAGATGTACAAACTTTGAGATTTTGGAACAGTTACTTACAGGCTATAGAAGGTATGTGGATTCTTTTCAGTATATTTACTGGGGTTTTGCTTTTGCCAATAAGAAAACTTAAATCTATTGTTTGTATTTACAAAGGAAACATGTTACCCAGCATACTTATATCATAAATACTTGTGTGTCTGTGTGTGTGTCTGTGTGTGTGTCTGTTTAAGAAGGAAAGCAGCCTTAAATATGGATGTTAGTACTAGCAAAGAGCAGTTGTAAAGCTGATTTCTACTTCATCCTTTTCAATTTAAAATAAACTGATTATTCTGTATCTACTTTATTCACTACTTCATTAGTATTTGTTAATAAATATTAATTACATGTTCCATTTTTTAAAAAGAGAAACTTTTAACTTTCATGTTGAAATTTTCTTGAAATTTTTGGTTTTTTACCATGTACTGTTTTCTTCAGCATTTGTTAGGCTATCATATTAATTAATGATTACATAAAAGAAAGATATAATAAATAGGTAACCTGGTTTTTTTGTTTTTTTTGTTTTTGTTGTTTTTTGTCATACATTAAGATTCGCTTATTGAATGTACCGCTTACGATACATTGTGATGTAGTTTGCCTTACATGAATGGTAGAATCCATTCCTGCCATTGTTTTCAGTCTAGTTGGAAAGAGTCTATGCTGACAATATGTTTTGTAGATTTTTCTGTTGTCTCTAATTGCTAAGTACTTTTAGTAATTGTCTCTAATTACTTTTCAGATGGTAAATCGGCAACAACAATGGAAGACATTCTTATTTTTGCAACTGGATGTAGTTCCATCCCACCTGCTGGATTTAAACCCTCTCCTTCAATTGAATGTCTACATATCGATTTTCCTGTTGGAAACAAATGTAACAACTGTTTAGCTCTACCAATCACCAACACATATAAAGAGTTTCAGGAAAATATGGATTTTGCCATAAAAGACGCTCTAAGACTAGAAAAGGAAGAAGAGTCTCGCTCACTCCCTTGGACATTAAAGGATACTTCTAATGAAGAAATGCTTCTTTAAAGGCTGCTATTAATAACTGTATCTATCAATCATCACTTTTGAACATTCTGGCCAGCTTATTGGCTCAATAAAATTTATGTCTCTCTTCTAAAGGGATGTTTTGGCTTCTGAACCACGGAGGGTTTGGTCAAGACATTCTGGTGGTATTTGGTGATAGCTTTCTGTTACTGTGCTTTCTTTATGACGTCAGTGTAAATATTCTTCCAATGGTTGTGCGAACTGTTCAGCTGTACAGGTGTTCCGCTATGTCAGCATGATATAAGAAACCCTGGGTCCTCGCTTTTCAAGTTAGATTCACTGGTGTAGAATGAACGACACAGCTTTTGCGGTTTTCCATTTTTTTGTTTGTTTGTCTCTTTTTTGTTATTTGTTTTTCTCTACATAGCCCTGGTTGTCCTGCTACTGGCTATGTGGACAAGGCTGTCCAATTTCTATATTTTAAAGCATTAAATAGAAAAGTTGGAAAGTCATCTCATAAATCAGAGATATGGACATGCTTTTCTATGATTTAAATGTTTTTGTAATTAAGTGACCAATCCAACAATTAAGTACCGACTAGTTGGAAATCCTGTATAAAAAGCAGAGCTATACAAATAACTCTGGAATTTATGGGTACTGCTGATATGTTTGCAGGTGTACTTTTAAATGCCTTAGAAAGTACATCTTGTTCAATGCCTTGTATAGTCAGTGTGTCTCACATGTCTGAACAATGTCTGACTGTCGTGGTTTGGCTACATTACAGCTATTTATTATCAAGATTGTTGTACGATTGGTAAGATCTTACCATAGCATTCTATATTTACTTTCTTTGCTTTCAAAAGTTACATTGTATAAGCAATAAATAAATAATTTAAAACTACAAATAGTTAAAAAAAAAGAAACAAAAACAAACTCTAATTTTGCCCATAGATATGTGTAATGTATTTTGTATATTCTTTATAAACTATTTATTTTTCGATTTTTATTGTTTTTGTGATAGGGTGTGTCTGTTCTAAATCTGCAGTCCTCCAGCCTTAGTCACTTAGATGCTGGGGTTGTGATGTACACCAATGTTCTCAGCAATGGTTATTCTTTTGACTAGATGAATAATACAGAAGGAACAGGGAATCGCGTACTTAAGGCAGCGCAAGATATACATAGTCTCTCGCAGGGCCTCATGGCACACACCTGCAACCCATGCTCTTGGGAGGCTAAGTCAGGAGGATCGGGAGTGACAGAACAATTTTAAGGCCACTGTGGGCTACAAGAGACCCTGCCTTGACAGATAAGTGGAGGAGCCACTCACAGTAACGTCTTCATATGTGGCCTTACAAATCTAGTGCCCTAATCTATTATAAAATATAAGGAAGACGAAGCCCCAAGTTTCACTTTAAAGTATCATGGGAGTTTAAGGGGGGAAAAAAAACAGAGCCGATTTGATATTGGTAATGTGCTTCTTAATGCCAAAGGAAAAAACTCAAATGTAATCATAGTATCATTTTGTTTGTTACCTCAGAACCTAATAAAGTTCCTTTTTTTTTTTTTCAAACTTGAGCATACAGCATTAAGGCATTCCTTTATCTTATATTACATTTTGCTGGATTTTCAAAAGTAATTAAATGATCCATCTTCGAATACTTTAAACCTCAAACTCAGCAGGCAGGTTTAATTTCAAGTATGTTGATAAATGGGATCTTTACATCTTAACCTAGTTAGTTCTCACGTTTTAAAAGCTGTTGTGTTAGAATGTGGAGCTTTGGGCTGCCTACAAGTTGTATTTCGCTGTTACTGCACTTACTGTATCTGTAACCATGGCCTTAGTGGTAAGATGGTATCAGTAATAACATATTTACTTCTTAAAGTGAAACAATCAGATTGTAAAAGGTATTCTGGTTTGAAGGTTTTGTTAGCATGGACGTGGGTTAATCTTTACAATCGAGGCTTATCAGTGAAACTGCAACATTACTGTGTCATTTTTCTCCTGCTCTGTTTTATAGCATAATTCTTACATTCAATCTTAAGTACTTAGTTTCAGTATTATGAAGGAACAATTTTGTGTTTGGTTAAGTAAAAAGCCTGCACTAGCATGGTCTCTGTTGTCCCCCTAATTATACTGGAAGCTTTTGTTACCTGTACATTCAACATTAAAATGCAAAGGTAAGTTTGCCTTAGCATCCAGTCACACTGCAGTGGTAAGAACTAGAGTCTGTTGATAAACACAGTTACTGTCTCATCATTGTTATAAGGTAGTGGTTATGCTTCAGATAATGCAGTGTCAAGCATGAGAACACAATTAATGATGCATTACTTGAATGTATATTATCTGTACCTTAAGAACATTTGCAGCCCTTGAGACCCAATTTTCAATTCTGATTTTGACCATTTTCAAATATCCAAATTAGTCTGATACCTACTGCACATCAGATACTGTTCTCAGAAACAGTTTATAATTCAGTCTCTTTAAAATATAATTAAAACTCATAGTGCGGAGGGTATATAGCCCAGTGATAGAGTGGTTTGCCTAGCTAGCATGTGTATGACCTTGGGTTTCATCCACAGTGTCACCAAAAATTTAAGAAAAAGGCATGAAAACTTATAATAAAGTTTCTAAATGTTTTTATGCCACCAGATGTCAAGTGTTCATAGAAATTAAACTTACTGGAATCTTTCTTAGGGGTTACTATTGTTCTAATGAAACACCATGACCAAAAGCAACTTGGGGAAGAAAGGGTTTATTTTGCTTACACTTCCCTATCACTGTCATTGAGGGAAGTCAAGGCAGGAACCTTTAGGCAGGAGTTGATGCAGAAGCCATGAATGATTGCTTAAGGCTTACTGGCCTGCTGTCCATGGCTTTCTCACTTGCTTTCTTACAGAACCTAAGACCAACAGCCCAGGGGTGGCACCCACAATGAGCTGTCCCTCCCCTATCAATCACTAGCTAAGAAAACACCCTTCAGGCTTGCCCACTGCCTGGTCTTATGGAGACATTTTTTTCAATTGAGGATTCTTTCCCTTCCATGTCTCTACATAGATTGTGTCAAGAATGTAATAAGGACATGATTCTGTTTTGATGCAGATATTTCTCATTTTTTCCCTATTAGCATATAGTTGTACAAAACAATGTATCATGACATACATGAATGTCATGAACTTTGGTCACATTCCTCCTCTTATTATGTCATACTTAGCCCGTGCTCACTCCCACTAGTCTCAACCAAATACTCCACTTAAAAAGTTAGTAATCTGCCGGGCGGTGGTGGCGCACGCCTTTAATCCCAGCACTCGGGAGGCAGAGCCAGG